TCTGGAACGATGAACTCTATGAACAGACGAAGAACAGTATAAACTCAGATCGATCAATCCACTAAAAATCGTGCAAATCTTGATAAAACTGTTAAATCCTCTAATCAAATTGCTGCAGCTTGCTCTGATACCAATTGAAATGCCCAAAAATCATACAAAAACTGATTATGATCTTCAAGAACGTTAAGAACAAGATGAAGAAAGAATATGATCACCAAATGTCTTGTATTGCTTGAGAGAGAATTATAATGCTAATCTGAAATTACAGAATTGAATTATGACAAATTACAAAGCTAAACTCTATTTATACTAAGGAAAAGCATTAAACTAATCTATTACAAAGCATGTAAAATGGAGAACTTGAATACAACAATAACGTGCATACTTGAACCCAACAACAGTTAAAGAAGTTAGCTGAGGCTATGTCAATAGAATTTGACTTTGCCTTGTCAGCGATAGTCAGAGAAGGAGATTTGTGGAAATTACTTTTCTGGTGAACCTTCATAAAGAGTTTGTAATGAGGGCCAGTGACTCATCAAACTCTGGTAAATCAGTGTCTTTTAAGTCCTCAGAGTTAGAAGGATCTAACTCGGAGATAGCAAGAGAAGAAGAAAGAGTACAAGAAATAGAAGGATAAGCTGAAGGGTTTCCAGGGATCAAAGCTAAAGGAGAGATTTTCATTTCTCTTAAATCTTTAAGAAGATTCTTCTTCAGCTGACAAGATTGCTAATGAAGTAATATCGCATAAAGAGTATTATCTTTGTCTTCAGCTTTATCTTCGATATCACTGAAGGTTCTATGGTATGAGTTTTGTCTTCCTGAAGAATACTTGTCTCTCTGAGAATTACAATACTTGTTCAGCGATCACTTAACAGACTCAGTGATGATCGTTGAAGCTGAAAAGAGATAGTACACTTCATAAGATAAAAAGGATCATCATCAAATCACTAAGACAGAGGATCAATAAGTTTGAAAGAAACAAAGTTGAAGGTAAATCAGTAATTAGAACTAAATGGGTCTTTAGAAATTAGAAAAATAAAGCTAGACTGGTTGCAAATGGTTATTGTCAACTCTAAGGCATAGATGATGATGAAATATTTGCACCAGTTGCTAGCATTGAAGCTATAAGGATATTTTTGGCTTATGTTGCAGATAAGAAGTTTAAAGTTTTTTAGATGGATGTAAAATATTTTTGAATGGTGTTATTCATGAGGAAGTATATGTGCATCAACCTGAAGGTTTTGAAGATCATAAGCATCCAGATCATGTCTATGTTTTAGATAAAGCTATGTATGGACCTAAACAGGCTCCTAGAGCATTGTATCAAACTCTAACTGATTTTCTTTTTAAAATCTAGCTTCAAGAAAGGTACGATTGATATAATTTTAAATTTTGAAGTAACAAGGTAAAGATTTAATCTTGATACAAATTTATCTGGATGACATAATTCTTGGTTCTACTAATCTAAAATATCATAAGAATGTTTCAGATATAATACAGACTAAGTTTGAAATGAGTATAATGGGGGAACTGAATTTCTTTTTAGGACTTCATATTAAGCAAACACCCAAATAAATATTCACAAATCAAGCTAAGTATGTAATAGATCTTTTAAGAAATACAACATGTCTGATTGTTCTTCGATAAAGTCACCAATGGCTATTGGAGTCAAGCTTGAGGTAGATTTAAGTGGAAAATTTGTAGATCAAAAGACTTATAGAGGCATGATTGGGTCTTTACTATATTTGACTGCTAGTAGACATGATATTATGTTTGTTACATGTTTTTGTGCAAGATATCAAGCTAATTCAAAAGAATCTCATCTTAGAGCTGCTAAGCAGATCTTAAGATATCTCAAAGGCACACCCTGTTTTGATCTTTGGTATCTTAAGGACAATGGTTTTGATCTAATGGTTTTGATCTAACAGCTTTTATAGACGCAAAATCATGGTGGAAAGTACTTTTGGATCATGTCAATTTTTGGGTGATAAGTTGGTCAGTTGGACATTAAAGAAACATAATTGTGTTTCAACACATACTGTAGAAGTAGAATATGTAGTTGTAGCTAGTTGTTGTTATCAAGTCATCTTGATGAAGACACAACTTAAGGATTATGGTTATATCTTCAACAAAATCCCAATTTATTGTGATTCAAATCGTGTAATTGTTATCACTGCTAATTTTGTTCAACATTCTTAGACAAAGCATATTGACATAAGGTATCATTTTATAAAAAGTCATGTTGAAAAGGGTACAATAGAAATATACTTTGTACAAACATACTTTCAATTACAGACTTATTCACTAAGCCTTTGGATGAGAAAATATTTAATTTTTTAGTAAGTTAGGCATGTTAAATTTAACTACTTAAATATATTTTTCGAATCTCAAGTGTTAAAAAATTCAGATTTTGAAGTTTCATACTAAATTTTTCTAAGCATCAAACTTTGAATAACTTGTTCCGAGTTCTGAAACTTTGACTTCAGATATGATGAAATTTCTATCTTTTAACTCTGGACTAGCAATTCTGAATTTTGTATTAATCTTTTCAGTTATTTTATAAGTCTGAAAATCTAACTCATAACTCTGAACCTACTTGATTATTAACTCTTGAGAATATCAATAGATGGTAGTTCAATATTTTTTCTTCTATTTTCACAATTTTCATCTGGTCTGATTGCATTTGTCCAAGGGGAGATTGATATAGTGTCTACAAATGGTTGTTTATTCTATGCTACATCTAAGGAAGAGCTATTAAACTTTCTAACTCTTGATATATTGTAACTTTGAAGGGGTTTCTGAACTTTCAAGGTTTGATTTTAAATCTTTGAACTTAAATCTCAACTTTTAAGAAAATCAAAAAATTCCATCTAAATGTTCAAACCATTTCTTCAATCTCAAATACTTTTTGTATTTCAATAAGTTGGATTTTAAATAATTTGAATACAAAGTTATCCCTAACTCTGAATGCACAAAGCCATATCTCTGAAAATTAATCAGAGTTAACACCAAGCACTCTAGAGTTATTACTTGTGTAACTTTTTTTCTCGTCTAAGAGTAACTTCCTAGTCATCTTATGCTACGTGTTATATTTTTATTGAAGAAATTATTACCACGTCTCAAAAATACAACTTTCGATGGTAGTACACCCGTTTGAGCACACTCAACTAGCTTAGTCATTACTAATAATCCTTCGTTTTGAACACACCTCACTCTATACACAAACCTTTCGTCTTTTTAGTGAATTCAAATTGATAAATAGTTCTTATCAAGATTCATTACAAACTTTCGTGAAATTTACTCTGAAACAATTCTTGTGCTTTCGAAATATTCTATGACCTAATTTCTTAGTTTCACTCAATCAAATGGCTCAATCTCACTCTCAAGTGCAAAAATCTCTACAAAACGCTAAGACTTGCTTTCACCCATTGTCGTCTGATTCTGATTCTACAAATGAAGTTAACCCAGCTTCATTCATGGTGGGGAACATTGAAGTTCCTTTGATTCAAAATCAAAATGTGGAAGATATTGTTGTGAATGTTCCATAACCAGAAAGCATTCCTATTACTCCCATGGATGATGAAAACCTAATTCCTACTGATGCTACTAAACCACATGGGGGAAGTAAGAGATGCTCATGGAAATCAACCTACACCTATGACAACTTCTGTTCTAAGTCTGACAAATACTTTTCTACCAGAAGATAAAGTTTGATAATATCAAAGTGAACAACTATGTCTTGGTTCTCAAATTTGACATATTCAAAGTAGAACATCATATTATTATAGAGATTGTATTAAATATCACTACTAAGTTTAATAAAATTACTAGATTATTGGTTAGATACATAGGGTTGGGTTCACGTGAGACCAATGGTTTTTCGTGAGACCCGTAAGACCAATTTATGTTCATTGATCAACTTTATAAGTTAAATATCTAATGGTCTAAATTGCATGGTGGCAATTTTGTAATTATTGAGAAGTCTCATGGCGTTTGTGAATGTTCAGATCTGATGATTGTAGATCTAATCCAATGGTTGAGAATTGGTCTTATGGGTCTCACGAAAAAGTCTTGGTCTCACATGATCCCAAGTCTAGATATATATATATATATATATATTTATACACACACGACCACGTACAAAATTACATGTCTCAATAATAAGCATTGTGCCCTATTAATACAACATAATGTGCTATATTACAAATGGATATACAACTAACTGTAAATGTCATTATAACAAAATATGGTTTACATGATGTTATAAATGTCTAAACGTTTTAATACAATATTTAATTAATTAGAAGACTTAAGTTTGTAGGATCAAAAAATTGTGCATTTATATAAAAACGTTATAATAAATTTATATAACATTTTTGGACATATTAACAAGAAATTTTCTTAAAATAAGACATCCTACTAATTTGTTATGACATTATTTAAACAATACTTTTATAAAAACAAGTTTTCTATAAGAAATTATATTTATACGATATTTTTCAAAAGTATCACGTAAAAATTAATGCAACATTTTATTTTTAAAAATCTCATAAAAATTTCATTAAGACGTGAAAAACCTTCCTATGAACTTATTGTTAACAAGTTATTATAAACTTCTAAGTTTTTCTTACTGAATACTGGTGTATAATTTTGTTAACAATAATTGAAGTTATACGTTTCCCAAAACAATAATTAATACTTGAAGTTGGTTTTGGTAACAAGAAGAGATAACCCCTACACCAAGCAAACTTATTGGAATACCTTCATCTATAACCAAACTAAGCCCTCGCCTTCAATCAATCTTTTTCATCAATTAAAACCTATACATACAGACATGTATATCTATATCTCTCTATATATACAACACTTCCAAGAATATATATATATATATACACACATGCATACATACATACAAGAATCATCTGTTTTTGAAGATCAAACACATTGAATTCCATATTGGAGATTATATATCATCATCGGTACGTACACCAGAAAATTAAATGGCAATGAGACCAAAAGGAGGTACAGGCCGTCCCAACCCTGAGCCGCGGTTGATTGTCGGCCGTGTTTACAAACCTTTCAAGCCCATGTCTGAATGGAGACAAGAAGATGATTATGACAATCTTCTTGTTTATCTCCCTGGTAATTTATATAATTAACTATAACTTAAATTAATTAATTAAATGCATTTTTTTCTCTTGGAAATTTATTAATTAGTCTTCATTTGAAGGTTTCCAGAAAGAATACATAAAGGTTACGACCGAAGACTTAAACATCATTAGGGTTCGTGGGGAGCGTTTAGTTGCAGAAAACAAATGGAGTCGTTTTCAGGAAGATTTTCGGGTTCCAAAAAACTGCGAGATGAGAGGAGTTCGTGCAAGATTTGATGGCGGTATCCTGAAGATTACCATGCCTAGGAAGATCATCACTGCATCACCACCACCACCCACCACCTCCACCTCCACCTCCACCACCACTCGAGTTCCCGATAAATCTGAAGAACCACAAGAAACTTTGGTCCAGAAGCCCAAAGAAGATTCAAAAGAAAGAGCAACTTCTTCGAATGCTGCTCTTCAAACGCCATTAGACGAAGGAAGCACGAGCACTTTACCACCACAACCACAACCAGCGCCAACAAAACAAGAACCATCAAAAACTGCGGGTCCAGAAGCAGATGGAGAGTTTACGTTTGGATCGAAAAACGATGGTACTGTTGAGAAAGGAAAAACTAAAGAAGCAGTAGTCGGATCCCAGGGTGGTAAAGTGGAGGAGAATGCGGTGGTGAAAGGTGGCGATGGGTGGAGAGGGTTGAATGAAGACAGGAAAATGGTGGTGAACATGGGTGTGGGTGTTCTTGTGATTGTGACACTTGGGATTCATGTTTCTTACACCATTGGCCTCATTGGCAAAGGCAAATACTAATCGGAATGCAATCATGTAATTTGGGTATATATATGTATATGCCTCGAGTATTGTTGTGAATTTGGTGTCGGTTTAATAAACTGAGAGGTTCCGGGCATAGTATCAATGCCTATATAAATGTATGTATGTATATTTAAGTATTGAAAAAAAAAAGGATTTAAATGGTTGTCTGCGAGTTGAGTTGAATCACAGGTTGTTTGAGTTACTACAAAAATGCAGAGTATCAATTCGTCGCTGAAAGGGCAATCCATCGCTGATACTCCGTCGGTCAAATAGTCGTAGGTAATGCTATCAGCAACGCTTCAGCGACGGATTTCAGCGACGGATTTGCGAGGGACACTTTCAGCGAGGGATAAATTCAGCGACGGATCAGCGACGGATCTGCAACGAAACCTTCAGCGACGGATCTACGAGGGAACTTTCAGCGACGGATCTGCGAGGGAACCTTCAGCGATGGATCTGCGAGGGAACCTTCAGCGACGGATCTGCGACGGAACCTTCAGCGACGGATCTGCGACGAAACCTTCAGCGACAGATCTGCGACGGAACCTTCAGCGACGGATTTGCGACGGATTTGCGACGGAACCTTCAGCGACGGATTTGCGACGGAATTTTCGAGGACTTTCAGCGACGGTTTTATTGGGTCTTAATCTATTTACCGGGCTTCATTGAGTTTATCGCGCCTTAATGAACTTTATTTAGTTTTATTTGACTTTATTTGGTTTATTGGGCCTTAATGGGTTTTATTCGTTTTTATTGGGCTTAATCAGCTTTATTAATTAATTTTTGTAATAATCTAATAAATAATTATTAATAAATAATTTATAAGTAATTAAATTAGTAGTTATAAAATTAAAAAAATGGCAAAAATCATTTTCCCTCACGACGGGTATATCTATACTATATTATAAAGCATTTGGCTAAAACTCTTAAAAACTCTTAAAACTCTTAAACTCTTAAAAACTCTTAAAACTCTTAAACTCTTAAAAACTCTTAAACCCGTTCATCTCTATCCGATTTCATCCCATATCTGAATTCGTGTAACTAACTGCAGATAAACACAATCAAATACGGGATAATCATCTCAT